CTATAGTGGTGTAATTGAAAGCTTCACAGTATCGTAGCATGTTAAATCACACAGCACAGAAAAAAATAACTTGAAAATATATATATATATAGTATATTTATATATATTATATAATATACTGTATATATATATAAATTTTTCCCTCTGTTTTCTTTTTTATGATTTAATACAAATGTATTACCAAAAAAACAGTGGCTATCAAATGAATGCATAAAACTTAATCTTTTAAAATGTAATCAAATGACAATTAAACAGTTCTTTTTAAATATACAATACCTTTTAAATTAACAATACCAACAGAAGTTCACTGTTCAAAGCATGGACAAAAAAAAGTTGTAATATTGTGTGATATTCCTTTAAAAAAATGTTTAGATTATTATTATTACTACTACTACTACTACTACATTCTACTGTACAATAGTAATATATTTCTAGTTCAGTAGGTTATTATGAACACATAGAGAGTGTGTGTATCTGATGATAGTTTTCTAAAATGAAACAGCGAAACTCTGGTCAAGTGAACTCTCAGAGCAGCTCTGGAGATGAAGTTATTGTGTTCGTGTCTTCATATTGTGAGACGGCAGACACTGAAACACCACAAGCGTCACACATGCTTGAATATGTGTGAAGTAGACAAAACAGCACAGCAGAGACACACAGAACATGCAGACTTCATATTTAAATAGCAGTTTTTTGCAGGTTAATATTCACAGACACTAGTCCACATCACAATTTGATTCATTGTACAGCTCTACTTTTGATATATTCATCCAAAATTTGGCAATTCTATGACAGACAATTAATTACACAAATCAAAATATGCTGAGGAAACCCCTAAATTAATTCAAATACATTATTGTGACATTATTATTTCACCTACACTAAGGTTGTTAAAAAAAGTAATATACAAGAACTGCAAGGCTATTTGTAACAGGAAATATTTATTAATTGTGCATCATGTCTTGGAGGAGAATGAGGCGATCCATTTTTACCAGAACATACAGTATGACTCATATTATGTGAGTCAGCAAATCCATACCTGCTGACTACAAATTTATCTTGTGACCAAATGTACGCTGCCAGTTTGGCCCCTGTTTTCTATCTTTCACCTGAGCTGTGACTGAATGAGCATCAGCATAACACTTTCCAGGCATTCTTTCTCATTCCCAAAGTGACAGGAAGTCATGTTCTTTTCTGCCAGATGTGGATATTAGCTGAAGGAATGAACAACAGCTGAATTTACTGTAAGCAATTAAAGAGTAGATACTTTATATGGTGGTTCATTTATCAAAATGAGAAGAAAACACATTCTTTAAATATATATTACTAATGCATTGCATAATAATAATCTTCATTAATAAGATTATCAAACATCATTACTATATGTTATGCTTTTAATCATTTACTTATGTTGCTTCAAACTTTTATTTCCGTAGAACCTAAAAGGAGATGCGGGTGAGTAAATATTAACAATTTATTTTATATTTGTTGTTTTGGGGTGAACTACCCTGTTTAAAGATTAGTTAATGAAGATTTTACTAGTTAGAAATTACATTAAACTGACTACTCTTCAAAAGTTTGGTGTCAGTAAGATGTCTCTTATGCTCACCAAGGCTGCATTTATTTAATCAAAAATAATATTGTGAAATATTATTACAGTTTTAAAATTTGTTTTCTTTTTTTATTACATTTCAAAATGTAATTTATTCCTGTGACGCAAAGCTGAATTTTCAGCAGTCATTACTCCAGCCACATCACATGATCCCTTAGAAATCATACCTAAATTCTGAATATGGTGCTCAATAAACATGTCTTATTTTCAATGCTGAAAATGGTTTATTTTGTAACATTGTAAACATCTAACTTTTTTTCACATCTCACATAATTTCTTTAAAAACATTAAAATAAATAAAAACATGTACTGACCCCAAACTTTTGTACTATGGTGTACATTTTATATTTTATTATTTATTAATTCATTACTTAAATAATAATGACTCATTAGTGAATTCTTACATTCACATTTTATATTTTACTGATTTAGCTTTCATTTAAAATTTAAATACACAAACTAATGAGCAGTTAAATGAACATACTGAACTTTACATGCTGTTTCTTATTGTCCAGCTGTCACCAATTCATCTTTGTTCACCGTTTTATTAATGTAATATCCTTTCTTCAAGTGTGAATTACTAGATTTATGCCATGAACTGTATATTATCGCACACAGCAGTGAGGTGTGTTGTTCATATGCGTGCTGATTGATTAAAAAAAAGCATGCTGTATTTGCCATCTTACACAGGTGCCGAAGTCCTCTATTCAGCACAATTCGTAAGGAGTGTGCTGTTGCACAGCAGAGATCTTTGTAATATTTTCCATTTTCCTCTCACGGAAGGCACACGCTCTGACTCTTCAACCTAAACACCGTCCTTCAACATTGTGATGCACTCAATTTATTCATTGAAAAAAACGCAGCCTTCTGCTGAATTTGTATTTCTGAGGGAAGCTGATGAGGAGGGGGAACACTCCCTATATCAGGCTAACATCTCAACAATGGGAATGCCACAATGATGAATGAGACAGAGGTTTTAAGGCCGGCTGCCTCAGAGGCAGATACATCAGCAGCTGGAGCTGCCTCGAAACATTTTTTTCAATGATTAGGGACACAAATATTGTGTCATTATAGCCAATAATCTTTTTGTGCACTTACACTGACGCATTCATATGTTCAAATTTCATGCTTGTGTCTTGTGAAACTGTGTAACAGTAAAAAAAAAACAGGTTATTCACATATGACAAAGGACGGTTTTGACAGCTTGACAAAAAACCGAGGCACCAAACCCATGTGGTGTCCAGTTATCTCTCACTAGGCAGATTAAGTCATCTCTCTCCCAGCAGATGGGCATATCATTTCCCTAATGCTACTCCGGACCACATGGACCTCTCAGTTAATACACGCTTCCAATCCAACACACAAAAGCATTAGCTAAAAAGCAGCCATGAAAAAAGAAAAAAAATCAATGGCGCACAAATAGCAAGTAGATGCAAAATGTATTTTTGTAACACGGATATGACATTTAAATGTGCATCAGTGAGGGGTTTATATAAGCAACAAAACATATTTAAAAGTTAAAGAACATTTAAAAAATTGTCATTATTTACTGAAAAAAGGTATACAGTATATTGTAGAATGACCAAGCTGCTCTTTTTCATACAATAAAAGTGAATGGTGATCACAGCCGTCAAGATTTTCAAAGCAAGATTATTAGTGAATCTCAATTTTAATTGTATAGCTTCAGAGGACTTAACAAATAGTGCATGAGTCGAACTAACTATGTTTAGGATAATCTTTCTTTACTAAGAAATGGTGACAAGCTGTCAAGATTTTCAAATAAAGATTATTAGCAAATTTGACTTAAATTTGGTCTGTTCCTCACACAAAGTTATTGCAGTGCTTCTGAAGAATCAGGACATAGTGCATGAGTCGAACAAACTACTTTTATAATAATTTTATGGTGCTTTTTGTTCTGAAGGCCCCTGGTGCCCATCCACTTTCACTGTAAAGAACAGCAGCTTAAACATTCTGCTGAACATCTCTTATTTTGTTCCATGGATGAAAGAAAGTCAAACTGGTTTGGAACAGTGACGAATCTAGGGTTTTTATTTGGGGGTATAGCCCCCAATGAGGGTATAATAATAAAAAAACAAATTTATTTTTTTATTTCACTAATAGGGTAGGATGGTAAAGCCTACTAAACTTATTGTGGTATTGCACAGATGGGTATAACATTTGAGCAATGAATAAGCCAAATACAAGTCTTTCCGATCACACAAACACACACAAATGTTACTGTTTGCATTTCTAGTACAAACCTCTTTCTATGCTCAAGTACTGTCAGTCACTGTCTTTAATCATTTCCGTGCATGACTGTATGGGAGTTAATGCCACATGCACTGTAATATGTTTTATATTTTCAAATGAAAATAGCAACATGGTAGATGCGATGACAGTAGATGGGAAACCGATTGCTCCCCATGACATTTTTGTAAACTTTTTAGTTTTTTGACATTTTGTATTTATGACAAAGAACTGCACAGATGCAGATATTATAACAATCTATCGATAAACACACACCTTGTCCTCTGTTTCTCACTCTGCGCCACCGCAGTCTGCGGATTGAAGAACGCGCTGAAAGATGGGGAGGAGCCGAAGTCTGCCGGCGTTTTCATTTAAAGGGGACTGAGGTGATCATGAATTCAAGTACAGTTTATGGAGCAAATTGCTAAATTTTTAGGGGGGCTGAGCAGAAATTAAAAGCCCCCCCAAAAAATGGCCTAGCGACGCCCATGGTTTGGAACTACATGAGAGAAAGTAAATGAAATGGTCTTTATTTTTAGATGATCTGTCATTTTAAATGTGATGTAACCATCTTGTATTGTAAATGCGGTACAAATTTATTTGTTGGCATATAGTAAATAGGAGAGCCATCAAACTGTTTTGATATGCATAAATACAGTAAGGTTTTGCTGACACCATTTTTTCAATTAGATGAATACAAACTCATCAGCTACTTTATGCAAATCCACTCCCTATGCGCAACACACTTTTACTGGTAATTCAAGATCACTATGGAAACCTTCCATGCTTAATTTACATTCACTTTAATTCACATAGTGAATTAAATCCCCCAGTCTGATTTCCAGCTAAACTAATGCAGTACCACATTCAAACCATACAAAGCAAAACACGTTTCACTCAAGGCCTCCAGAAAGGCAAGCAGGATGTAAAAAAGCACGTAACGCTAACAAATGCGTTGCTATATTAATGCTCTACTCAATCGCCAAATGTATTTATTTAACCCAAGCAAAAGGGCCAGTGATGCTCACCGGTTTATAAATGTACCCAGTGGAGCTTCAGATGAAATCTTCACCCTCATAAGTACGACATATAAAGATGGTGTTTTCACTGAGCTGTGGAGTGGGAAGGAGCTCTGTCTTACCTTGGTAATTGCAGATGTCTCCCACGCTGTTCTGACGCGTGATGTGGTGCCAGTAAGCGCTTCGCGGGAGAGATATCGACTTTGTTAATGTGTTCTCGTTTGAAAGAGTCTGTGAGGCAGAGCAGAAAATCATTGGGTTACATTGGTTATATTTCCAGTCAAATCACTCGGAAAGGGCTTACACTGAGAAGATTTCAAAGGCCTCGCCACCTAAACAGCACCTCTCCATTAGGACCATTTGAACATCACAGATGACAGGTGGAGTGAGATGTCATTACAGCCTTTTAAAAAGAGAATTTTAAGAGAATTGTGTTAATCCAAACAAATAAAGACTCTTAGCGGGACTCTTGATCAAGATTTCAGAGCAAGCAGCATTTTTGGCAGGGGTCCTGGATGGCAAGATCTGAGCGGAGGGCCATATGGTCAAGTCTCATCAGCCTCCACTGAAGGCCTTAGAGATGACAGCACAGATTCACTGCCAGGAAGGCAGCAGCGCAGTTTAAATAGTGCAGGAAAGACCATCCGCGCCGGGCGACTGAACAATTCATCAACCTCGCTAGCTTCAGGGGGTACGGAAAAATAACCAAAATGTGCTTTCAATGAAACGTTGATAACCAAAATAACATTTTAAGGCATTAGTGTTCAGAAGCTTTGAACACTGAAAAACTCCTGAGGCTGTTATTTCTGCGGTTATCTTGCAACTAAGATGAGTCTCAAATCCATTTACATGTATGCATTTGGTAGATGCTTTTATTCAAAGCGACTTCAATTGCATTGAAGGTATGCATTTTATCAGTATGCATGTTCTTAGGATTCAAACTCTTGACCTTGATGTTGCTAACGTCATGCTCTACCAGTTGAGCTATAGGAACACATAAGTGCAGTGTTTTTGAAGGTACTCGACCGATAGTGCAGTTCAGCATTAGTTGACAGCAGCTGTTTTTTCAAAGATGCCAGTATTCTGTGACCTGGATTTATGAAATATCACATGCTGTGCACTGTGCAAGCAAGGAAGTGGGAAAACATACTCAGAAAATTGGCAGAATATTTACGGGGAAGCTGCAACCCTGATATTCAATTATACTGTGCAGTGACAAAAGGTTGATTTTTAGGTTATCTGAACTAAGGCAATAATTTAAAAAAATTCTGTAGACTTATTTAGCATATGTCAATCACTGAAATGATCACATACTGTATAAAATACCATTAAAAACTATGGGGTCAGTAAACTTTCAATGTTTTTTTTTAAGTCTCTTATACTCAAATTGATTATAATACATCTTTTTGGGGATATATAGAAAGTTAAAAAGGACAGCATTTATTTGAAACAGAAATGTAATGTAACATTACAAATGTATTATATTTCATCAAATATCTCTTTATTTTTTTTATCAATTTAATGTATCCTTGCTTAATAATCTTAATTTTTTTCCAGAAAAAAATAAAATCTTACTGACCCCCAAATTTAGCATGGCAGTGTGTTTTTGAGACCAAAATCTTATTTATGATTTTTTTATTTGTTTAAGGTGATTAAATCAACAGTTAAAGGACAGAAGTGATGAATTCTTGATTATTAATGTTATTATTTTGGCAATTTAAGTATATTAATAATCATAAATTAACCTTACAAAACATGAGTGTGTTTAGAATTTTGATGGACCCTGGACCACAAAACCAGTCAATTTTTTTTTATTGAGATTTTTACATCATCTGAAAGGTTATTTGGCCAAGATTCAACTATTTGAAAATCTGGAATCTGAGGGTGCAAAAAAAAAAATCTAAATAGTGAGAAAATCGCCTTTAAAGTTGTCCAAATGAAGTTCTTAGCAATGCACATTACTAATCAAAAATTAAGTTTTGATATATTTACAGCAGGAAATTTACAAAATATCTTTATGGAACATGATCTTTACTTAATGTCCTAATGATTTTTGGCATAAAAGAAAAATCTATAATTTTGACCCATACAATGTATTCTTGCTACAAATTTTGCTACAAATATAACCCAGCGATTTAAGACTGGTTTTGTGGTCCAGGGTCACATTTGTGAAATAAGCTTGTACTAATATTACGGAATATTAGGAAATACTAAATATGAAATGCCTTTTTCCCCACTGTACCCCCTGTAGAATTATAGGATGTGTACTTTTACTATACCTGTGAGCTCTTCTCCATCTCCATCATCATGCGTTCATGTTGCTCAGCGATGGACAGCGTGGCAGAGTGAACTCTCTGATAGATCATCTCGCCTTCTCTGGTCTGGAATGTGAACAAACCTTCCCCTGTATCACACATCCTGTAAGAGAACAACACACATGCACACACAACCGTTAAGCAATTATAGCTTCTATTAGTTTTCAGTACACATGTTCTTTTCGTAATAGGCTGAACAGCAGGAGTAGACTTTAAGGGCAGCCTGCAAGGGAAAGCATGTGTTAAATGTTGAGCACCTTCGTGAATCAGCAAATCAATATCCAGAGCAGCAGAATCAGGACTATTGGATTTAGGATGAAAACATCTTGTCAGACAAAAGCACTCCCAACTAGAATCGAATGATGTTCACACACCTCCCGGACTCAAATGTGAACCAGGTCGAGTCTCTTCCGTATCTCCTCAGGGAGTTGAGCGGCCACATGACCAGCTTGACTCTGGCATTATGGATGTCCCAAAGGTAGATGTTCTCGTGGGTGATCTGCATTGTGCACTCCCCGTAGATGTCCAGGTTTGGGGTCGGCATCAAGTAAACATGAAATCTTTCTGGAATAAAAATTAAATACATTTATAAGTCAGAAGTCCTATACTTAACTAAAACTGAAATTAATATTTAAAAATAAATTAAACATACACTGAAATAAAATATTTTAAAAAGTTTCATTTCAGCCAACCCATTTCTCATTTTAATTTAGTTAAATTAGACGCACTAAAATAACAAAAACTGAACTAAAAGCGAATAAAACGATATAGACGTATAAAAAATACAAAAATGACAAAACACACTACGAGAGTACTAAACCTTAAACTAAAATTTAAATGAAAATGGAAAATATAAAAATAAAAAACATTAATAAAAACTATAATAGTGTCTTATTAATGCTAAAGTAAGTATTACAGATTGGGGGTTTGTTGAGAAAAAAACAATAATAATAAAATAAAAACAATTGAAACCACTGTATACATTAAAATTAAAAACTTAATTTGATCTCTTCAGATGCAGAAAGCTTTGAACAATGAAAAACTCTTGAAGATGTGAGTGTTTTTTAAATTTTGATGGAATAAAAAAAATTGTTTATAAATAAAAAAATAAATATGTATATACAGTGGGGCAAATAAGTATTTGATACACTGCCGATTTTTCAAGGTTTCCCACTTACAAAGAATGGAGAGATCTGTAATTTTCATCGTAGGTACACCTCAACTGTGAGAGACCGAATCAAAAAAAAAATCCAGAAAATAATATTTTTATATAGAATAGCACCACTAAAAGTGTGTTATATATCAGATTCTAGCCATGAAGCTGAAGGGGTCAGGCTGTAAAGAGTGTGCAGTTTTTTTTAAAGTTTTTTTATATATTTTGATTCAGACATATTTTTCTTCAGAATAACAAGTGCAGACGAAGTGTACCCAATAAACCTAGGAAATTATATTGAGATAGCAGGATGACAAAACTGAACGGTTACTTCAGGTAAATAACTCAGAAAGGTTCAGCAGTCATAGCAGCTTACACTGACAGAAACTGCCAATGTCTTGTGTTAAAGAAACTTCATTACAGGCTAAATCGTTTCTTTAAAAGAAATGTCAATCAAACAGCAGTCTGCAACCTTTTCATATCTGTTAATAATAATTAAACTTGCTTAAAAAAGGCCAACCACTGTGGCGGTGCAGTCCATTCAGCTGTCATATTTACAGACATCTCAAACAGCTTTTATTTGGACAGCTGAAAGATTCTGCTCTGCCTAAAGATGACAGAGAATTAAAGGGTATGGCTGGAAATCTCGAGAACATCTCAACAGAGCCATCTAACATGATTATTATTTTTCCGATGGACTATTATCTCTTCTTGCAGATGTGACTCTTGCAGTGCACAAAGGTCAACAGATTGTTGCCATAGAGCCGCAGTTGAGCCAACCGCAATGGAGTAAGCACACCATCACAATTAGCTCCAAAAAGACAAGGGTGCACTTCATAATCCAAATTAATAGTCCCTAATTATACCTAATGCTTCAAAATAAGATGTCTCTCCAGAGGAAGAGGCAATGTAATGTGGGGGCTATTTTAGGGATTGTGAAAATGAACTCTGATTTAATTATCGCAGCCCGCCGTTAGAGGGGTCTAATTGAAGCGCAAATGGCAAACTCTCTGCTCGTTATTCCTCAGCTGTCGAATAGTGGGGAAACGATCATTTTGCTGAGCTCCAGCTGATATAATCATATACACATTGCGCTCTCGTTATAAAAACAAATCTATATTTGCCTGTCATTTGATTGAAACAAATTTGATGACCACTCTATACGGTGTCTGCCGCAGCTTAATGCTTGAATGCTTCGGCAGCACTTGGAGATGAACTGATATTGATTTTCTGAATTAGGTTTAAAAAAACACTCACATAAACACAGACACAACTCAGACCATCTCAGACTGAAACAATCTGATCTTGGAGGAGATGCAGTTGCCTTAAAGTAACGGTTCTCAACTTGAGGGTTGGGACTGTTCTTATAGTCACAGAAAACATTATGCTTAATTTTAAATCTCTCGGGAATAAAAAGTCATAAGCAAGCACTGCAGATTTTTGCAGGCTTATTGAAATAAAATACAATACTTCATTTGATCTTATGAAAAATTACATTTGTTGTTTTATTTGCAATAACAACATGCAAATAATGCGACAAGATAATACATAATATACATTACTAATAATTTATAATATATTTACTGAAATTCAATAGTGCTTGTGGCTCAAGATTGTTCTTATAGTCTTTATTTACTATAATTAAATATTATAAATATTTGATATTATAAAGTTTTTATATTTAATCTAAAATTCTAAATGTAAATATTTTTATACTTTATAATTACACATAATAAAAATAACACACACACACACACACACACACACACACATATATATATAAAATACATATTTATATATAATGAAAAAATATATATAAACCTACTTAAAAAATATAAATAAACATAAGCATGAGTAGTTAAGAGTTTTTTTTATTTTTTAAAAAGTAAAAAAAAATTTTTTTTTTTTAATTATTTAAAAGATGAGGATAAAATATTCTTCATATCATTTTGTTGTTGAGGAAACTCTCATTTTGCTGTATTTTGATGCAAATTCACCTGCCACTTGGTAGAAACTAGCCAAAGGCGGCAGATGCCAACATCAAGTGCTCAAAACAATGAACAATTCTGGTACTGTTTTGGGTTGTCACCTGATGTCCAATGTAAAATCTGAAGTGAAACCCTTTTAGAACCAGTGCTTTAATTTAACTGAAAATGCTAATTTGTTCCCTGCCAGCAGGTTTCACTTTCAGAACGGCGGAAATATAGCGGATTTCCAAACAATCCAAACATATGCGTATTCCCTTTAACTTGTTAAAAAGATCATCTGTTTACCATCTTGAGTGGAAAATACTGTTTTCGTGATCAGTTTTTCATTTATTATTTGCTTACGTTAGTGAATTTTACATTAGAGTGCACATCTGTGCTGAAATTAATACGGGGAGCGGCTGGAAACTAGCAATGATAAAATTTATCATCCGAGTCTAATATGATCTAGCGGGCCGTACTAAAAGACATTGAGGGCCATATACGGCCCGCGGGCCGACAGTTGCCCATCCCTTTTCTAGAGGGAAATAGAGTTCTGCTACCCGACCCAGGCCTGACGGGTCCCGAAATACTCTCAGGTTTCGGGTTGGGTTTGTGTTAATGTTTAATGAATAGCTTCAGGTTCAGGTTTGTAGCTAAATTAAAACTATATGCAGAAGGCTACGCTGCTTTCACGCACAGACACACACAAACACACAAACTTTTCTTAATAAAATAGGATCTCGCCATGATTTCCTTGTGAGGTCTGTGACTCCATTGCAGGATAATGATTATATCTTGGTCATATCGCCACTCTTCCATCGGATCAAATGGTAAGAGTCGGAGCTTCAATTTTGGAAATATCACTTTGCTCAAACACGCACCTCTCAGCGGTCAGCCTGTACGACTACTGCTAAGATGGCCTTAGTGAATGCTAGGTCAATATCGAATAAATCTTTTATTCTAAATGACTTATTTACATCGCATTCATTAGACTTCTTATTTATTACTGAGACTTGGTTAAAACATGGTGACTTGATGCCTCTTGTTGAGATTGCTCCTCCAGACTGTGCATTTTTTTAGTTCTCCACGGGCCTCTGGACATGGTGGTGGAGTTGCAACAATTTTTAGAAGCTGTTTTAAATGTAAGACTGTGCCCACTGATACTTTCTCCAGTTTTGAAGTCCAGCTATTGAAGGTTGATGTAAAGGGGCCTGTACTATGTGCTTTGGTTTACAGACCGCCTAAATGGAATAAGGATTTTATTTGTCAATTTTCTGACTTTCTGTCTGATCTGGAGATTTAAATATTCATTTTTGTTGTCCTTCGAAACCATTGGTCAAGGAATTTGTAACTCTTTTAGAGTCACTGAATATTGAACAATATGTATGTGGCCCAACTCATAATTTGGGTCATACACTTGACTTGGTGTTGTCCCGTGGCCTTTTGATCTCAAACATGGAGGTTATTGAGGCATGTGTGTTATCCAGTTTTGTTTGAATCTGAATACTTTTCTCCATCACCTACTTTCGCTTAGCATTCACATTGATCTAGGGTTATTAATTCTAACACTGCAAATTTGTTTTCTGAACATTATTCTTTACATGTTACCAATGATATCCTTAACGAAACTGATACTGAAAGTTTGATTGAAGGATTTTATAAAGCAATTTGCAGTTGCCTTGTACCACAAGCTGTTTGTCTTCCTTTCAACCCGTTTATCACATCAGCTAGATAGTATTGTCTCTACTATGAAGTGTTCTGGTTCTAAGTTAGATATTATTCCTGCACGTCTTTTTAAGGATGTTTTTCCAACCTATTAGTCCTATTGTAACAGCTATAGTGAACAGCTCTTTAGCCAAAGGTGTTGTGCAACCTCTGCTGAAAAAAAACCTCAGCTTGACCCAGCAATGTGCTGTAACTATTGGCCTATTTCTAAGTTGCCTTTTATCAGCACACTTTTTGTCCCGTTTGTTGCTGCCGTGTGTTTTGAGTTTGAGCTCCGTCAAGTTAATTCTTTGTCGTCTAATTTTTTATCTTAAAATAAATTTTATACACCATCCTTTTCAGTTCTATAACGTGTGAATATATCCCTTATATAATTAACACTATTATAATTAATTATTGACACACTAGCATAATTAATGCTGTTCAGTTGCTTTGATACAATCTGTATTGTTAAAAGCGCTATATAAATAAAGGTGACTTGACTTGACTTTTGGAGAAAGTAGTGTTTTTACAACTTCAGTCTTTTTTGGATTCTTTTAGTGTTTTAGATAAGTTTCAATCTGGTTTTAGATCATTACACAATACTGAGTCAGCTCTATTGAGAGTTACAAATGACATGCTACATTCTCTGGATTCAGGTGCTTGTATTGTGTTGGTATTGTTGGACCTGAGCTAGGCATTTGACACCATTGATCATAGTATTCTTTTTGGTCGACTTGAATGTGTGGTAGGTATTTGAGGCACTACATTAAAGTGGTTTGCCTCGTATCTCGAGAACAGGACTTTTCCTGTAAATTTAGGAATTTTTTTCTCATCCTCTGCACCTGTCTTGTGTGGAGTGCCCCAGGGATCCATTTTGGGACCTTTACTGTTTTCCCTTTATACGCTTCCCTTGGCCCACATTTTTCAAAAATACAGTATTTCATATCATTGTTACGTGGATGATTCTCAGTTTTATCTACCAGTAAGGCTTGATACTGCGGTTTCATTTGATGTATTATTGAAATGTGTACATGATATTAAGACATGGATGTCTAATAATTTCCTGCAGTTAAATGAGGATAAAACCGAGGTTTTAATATTAGGTTGTCCTGCACACTCGTCTCTTGCTTTGGAAGCTCAGTTAGGTCCACTTTCAACTAATGTACGCAAACAAATCAAAAACCTTGGAGTGATTTTTGACTCCTCTCTATTTTTTGATAAACAAATTAGTGCTGTTATTAGAGCAAGTTTTTTTCCATTTGAGATCTATTGCAAAGTTGAAGCATCTTCTTTCAAGGAAGGATATGGAAGTTGTGATTCATGCACTTGTTACATCTCGATTGGATTATTGTAACTCTCTTTATTCTGGTCTTCCTCAATCTTCAGTGTCACGATTGCAAGCTGTTCAAAATGCTGTGGCAAGACTTTTGACTAGGTCAAAAAAGAGGGATCACATGTCTCCTGTTTTATCATCCCTTCATTGTCTTCCCATTAAATCCAGGGTTAATTTTAAAATTCTTCTGTTTGATTATAAGGCATTGTCTGGTTGTTCACCAAGTTATATCTCTGAACTTCTTGTGCCATATTGTCCTGCTAGGGCACTTAGATCTTCGAGTCACTTGCTTCTAACTGTACCACGGTGTCGGTACAAAACAAAGGGTGATCGGGCTTTTTCTGTGGTTGGCCCCAAGCTTTGGAATGGTCTCCCCTATCATGTGAGATCTGCTCCTTCTCTGGACATTTTTAAGTCTAGACTTAAATCTTATTTTTACTCTTTAGCCTTTGTATGTGTGTAGTTGTTGTTTTTATTAGTAGATTTGTTTGATCACTGTACAGCACATTGGATCAATTTACATTGTGTTTAAATATGCTTTATAAATAAATGTTGTTGTTGATAATAAAATAGCTTCGATACTGAATCGCTACATTATATTTCTCAGCAACAAGGGGGTAAAAATCACTGTTTTTAAAGTAACTAAACTCAGCTTTATTGTTTCTAAAGAGAGAGACGCGCAGACACAGGTAATTCACTCACACAACTTTCATCCCTCTCTCTCTCTGGATAATTATTTTAAATAAATTATATAAATCATTCATTCAAATAAACGTGGTATAACCACATTACTTCATCTCTGTGTCTGATTTAAAGCGGCAGAATGCTAGAACGAACCGTAACTGATGAAAATGACCTTAATTTTTACCCTTTGCCTCCAAATCATGCATTACATTTTTTAAGGCACATGCAGGCTGTGGTTTATATTATCTTACATACAGTGGGTACGGAAAGTATTCAGACCCCCTGTGAGCCGTTTGCTCTATAGGCTTTATTTAAAAACGAAACTTGTTTTGCTCTTGTGCCTGCTTTAGCGGCCTCTCTGTTACAATACGGCAAACGGCACATGCTCATGATTGGTAAGTGCTTTTTTCTTTTGCTTTGTGTGCTGGACTGGCCACTAGCCTTGATGAAACGGTTTATTTACATGTATTTGTTTACTGACTGTTGCATGCAATCATGAAATACAGCATATTTAAAAAGTTTGGTTATTCGTTGTGGAAAAAATGGCTTTGGGTTGGGATCGGGCTCTAAATTTAACAGTGCCACTCGGGTCGGGTCGGAATCGGGTCAAACGATCTCAGGTACGGGCCTGGTCTCGGGCTTCAGTTTGAAGGCAGTGCAGACCTCTAGAAGGAAACGGATTGCATTAGCTAAAGATTCTCGCTCATTCTCTTAAGCGTTTTCTTGCAGATGTGCCATGCGCATTCATCCTGCTTTTCTTCTGCGCCATAATCTCATCCATCTCTGTGACAAGCTTCATTAAGAGCTGATGCTCTGATGCACGGCGGTACCCATTAGCGCTTAGCAAAGAACCTTGGCCCGAGCCTATCATTTATAAACATGAGAACAGACCTGGAGGGACTGTGTTTAACAAACACATTTGGACTCTGTAATAGAATTATTTAGGGAGTACAAGAGGAAAAATCACGGAAAAATCTGGGCTCTAATTGGATACTGACCGTTCTGTTCCCTCTGCACCCCTGCTGCTAACAAGTCCGGTTCTCCCAGGCTGATGTCATTAAGTCTGCTGCCCAGACACTCCAAACACAATAACTTCCACCACTCCTCAGCCTCCAGCTCTGTGGACACACACATCCATATCATCATTTTTATATGCAAACATGCAGGAGCAGCTGCTGAAGAGACGGCAGCAAACAGGGAACAAGCAGGAGATAAACACATTTACAGATTTAGCACTAATGCACAGCAACAAGCCATTTGTGAGCACTAGGTTTATGATGAACGTTATTTTTCTAGTCATCGACCACCTCAGCCTTTCTGAAAATATGAGATGTTTACAGTTACAAGAGATTTCTGCTTTAAAACTAAAGCAGCCAGTAGTCTGGCACAAAGGAGTGTAGTGATGGACAGACAGACATGTAGAATTGACAGACAGACAGTCAAGTTCATAGGTGCGGACACAGTGTCTAAAAATACTCGCCAAGTGCCAAATGTGTGTAAAACCTGGCTGCCAACTAACAAAAACAGAATTACTGACCATTTTTAGGAAGTGCAACAATGGAAGAAAGAAAGCCATACAGGTTTGCAACAGCATGAGAGGAAACGATGACAGAATTTTTATTTTAGGTGAACTTTACTATTTATTACACTCACACTATATGGGGTAAGATGTACACAATAAGGGGACGATGCCCCGCTTAAGAACAATGTGCATTTATTTTTAAATTGTAACCTATTTAGATATAAGCTTAGCAAGAGCAGGATGACGATGCATCACCAATATGTTATTATGGGAAATAAACAAAGATCATTAAATCATAACGTAAAATGTTAAATTATTCAAAGAAGCTACTGGGGTACGATGGCCCCCTACCTGGGGCAAGAAGCCCCCTGGCTAAACTTTTACAAAATGTAATTTTACAAAGTGACTTTTGATATTAATTTTAATAATATTTATATATATATATATTTTACAGTGTCACCTATGTAAAATACTAAATCAATTATTCTATTAAATTTTTATTTTTGACAATTTAGTTGAGTAATTGAATAACCAAAGACAAAGCAGACAGACAAAGCAGAATCCCAGTAAAAGACATTCATCTGAAATGTACATTTATTATTTGACTTATAATACAGGCATTTGAATAACTGAATATTTACATATTTAATCACCTATATTATAATTAAAGATATACAATAATTGCAACACTGAATTCAAATTAAATGACTTCACTCAATTAGCCTATAGGTTTTAATTAATTAACGAAGATGTCTGTAAAGTAATTATTGGAATTACTGAATAATAGCCCTATGAATTTAAATAAGTTTAAACACTAGTAACAACATGCCACTTGGGGTCTTCTGTGACAATTCTGGTGGTCATCTTACCCCAATGGTTTAACTTTATATTTTCACCTCAGAATAAAACTATAAATTTTACTCCACCAATACAAAAACATTAATGTGTCCACAAACCCCTAAATACAGAAATATACTTTGATATTCAACATATTACAATGTCATAGATCACTATTTGTTCAGAGACACAAAATTAGATCAATTAACCTCAAAATAGTTTAGACTGAGATTAAATGACAAAACTTAGAATAGCATGGAGATTTATTAAATAAACACACACTTTATTTTAAATATTTATCATAAACAAATAATATGAATATTATAAATTATATTTAAATAATAAATAATATAAATTACATAAATTATAATGCATGTAATTATATGTATAAATAGTTATAGTATATATGATATATGTATAGTACAGTACATACTGTATGATCTGATGTGATATTTTACATACAGTTATCGTTATATACTCAGTTAAATAATGCAGAGTTTAATAGACAGTAATAAAAAGTACAAATGGGCGGCACATTTTCTCAGTTTGCACATCATTAGCAGGTGCAGCAATAGTTATTTTGGCCCCTGTGTGCACACAAAATAACACAAATAGCATTCTGTAGGAGTTGAGCTTTATTTTTCTTGGCACTCCATTCTTACTCCATTCTTCAAAAGCTCCAGGCTAATCTACAGCACACTCTGGACAGCATCATTCTAATGAATGCACAATGACACAAAGGAAAGTGAGCACAAATTATGACTATGCCAACCACAAAATGAGCTCCATCCACACTGCTTCTGCTTGTGACATGGGTTTGAAAGCTCAACATTATGAGATTAGATTTGTCTAATTACGTGCCAAGTAGTTGTTAGCCGATTCGTGGCCTCGTCAAGTTTGCATTTTCAGTGGAGCTTGTTTGAATAACAATGGCTGCCTGCTTGATGTTGCCCTAAGTATATTTCAGCTGTAATTGAAGCTTAAAATGAGTACTGTATGCCTGTCGACATTTTAATTTTGCCTGCTTGAGTAATGTGAGCAGGCACCATTCAAAATATTCAATCAGGGAAAAAATGATTTTTTTTTAATAGTACAATAGACACTTATCAAATAATTTCACTCATAATACTGTGTAAATCATGCACACAGATCCAAACGCTAGAAGAAAAAAAAACATAATGCCTTGGATTATCTTTATCAAACTTATTAAACACAAACAAATAATTGTGCACATATTCCTATACAAGCTTTTTGCTGATTTTTTAGTTTTAGTTTTTTTTGCATGGCCTCTCTCCTGAGACGGTGACCTTTAAGTGTGTCTAAATTCGCACACACTTTTGGGCCCACTGAGTGGAAAATTGGATAAACAAATACTTCATCAGCATGGCAAACTCTCAAGTGCTCAGGCAGCTATGTGCACACAAACAAAGATCATCTTCACATGGTTAATGGTTCACTCAGAGCACAGGAAATGAGAAGAACCACAGTAAATGATAAATAGTTAGGAGAAAGAAAATGGGTCAGGATGGATGAAATAGATTAAGGCTGCAACAAATCGCTAATGGAAATACTCGACAATGAATTTCATTATTGATTTGTAGCGTCTGTGGGCCCCGCTTAGAGGACCACGTCAGTGACACCACTTTAAATAACAGCGAAAAATGCATTTACATGAAAGAGAAAAAAACTAATTTAATTACAGTTTACTGCTTTATTTTTCAAAGGCCAGTATTTTCATTTGGCAAAACAGAGCATCCTAAAAGCAAGCAAGCTCAAGTACGTAATAGAGCTTTTATTTAGATCAAAGCACGATTCATTTAAACATCAAATTTAAGTTTTAAATGAACATTTACATTTATGCATTTGCCAGAAGTTTTTATCCAAAATGTCTTATTTTACAAGGAATTATTTATGTTTTGTTTTGTTTTGTTTTGAAAACCAAATGTATGACCTTGGCATTATATTGAAATGAAAATATATTTTATATTTATATGAAAATCTACACTACCATTCAAAAGTTTGAGGTCAGTAAGGTTTTTTTTTTTATGTTTTGAAAGATGTTTCTTATACTCACCAAGGCAGCATTTATTTGATCAAAACTACAATAAAATAGTATTATTGTCAAATATTAATACAATTTAAAATAACCGTTTTCTATTGTAATACATTCTAAAATGTAATTTATTACTGTGATAGGAAAGCTGAATCAATGTTGGAAACAGTTGTGCTGCATAATATTTTTTTTGTGGAAACCATGATATACAATTTTCAAGATTCTTTGATGAATAAAATAAAGTTTGAATATAAAGTTCAAAGGAACAGCATTTATTTGAAATAAAAATATTTTGTAACAATGTAGAAGTATTTTACCTTCTTACCTTTTGATCAATTTAATGCATCCTTGCTGAATAAAAGTTTATTTTTTATTTTTTATTGTACCTACCTCAAACTTTTAAAAAGCATATTATCATATTTATTTTTAGATTTTATATTATTTTAAGGCTCATAATTTTTTGGTGCAAAATGTAAAATGATGTTATTAAATATTAATTATCAAACTGAATTTGTAAATTGCTTGAAGCATTGAGCAAAATGTGAAATCTTAGATAAATCCGATTTAAATCAGTTGCAAGTCGCAGCCCTCATAATCAGACATGATGATTGTACGACAGAGAGAGAGAGAGAGAGAGAGAGAGAGAGAGAGAGAGACAGAGAGAGCGCGTGAGAGAAGAAAAGGGTCAGAGCGGCACAGCCGTAACCCGACAGACTCAAAGGGAGGTGAGGAAGTGGAAGTGAAGGATCAAGGGAGGTCGGGTTCCTACATGTGGCGGACATGTGAGGGACACAAGCTCCATATGGCCGGAGTTTGTGAGAAAGGGGAAGTTCGAGAGGGGGTGGCTCATGGACATGTACCTGTGCCAAAATTAAAAGAGCCACAAGCAGAGTTGACCACACACACACACACACACACACACACACTCGCCTAAGGCCTACACTGACTCAAAGGTGATTTATTCCCACAAGGACAACAAGGTGATCTAATGCAGCAGGACATATTACCAACAAACCGGCACAGAAAAGTCTTTGAAGGAGTCACAGACACTGCCTAAGACTTCTTCATCTAAACAGCCTAAGGCACATATACTTTTTAAACCCTTAGTGTATGGCCCTATCTCACACAGCTCTTCATTTATGCCCTATGCCCGCTCTACCCGTTTCCCATTAATATCCTGCCTCTGAAGGGAGTGAAGGAGAGCTGGGGGTGGGGAGGTTATTGTGGTAAATGGATTCAGGAGAACATTCTTCGCCTCCCCCTGGCAGTGCGGAAGACCCCAGAGGTGCTAATGATATCCCAGCGGGTCCACCGTGTGCATCCACTCCACTGCCTCTCCTTCCCTCTCCATCTCTTCCGTGTTCCTCCCTCTCTCTCTCCTTTAGTTTCCTACCTGGGAATTTAGCTTGACAGGAAATTTGAAGGCAAAGGACAAATTCAGCGCTAAAAAGATTTACCGTTTCTTCTGGTCAAAAGAGTTGTAATAATGTGTTTGTGATCATTTTTTGCACACATTATTGTGGATGGAAATCACAAAAAAATTCATTAAACCTGCTGTTATTGGACTTGTTTAGCAACCAATTCACTAAAGTAATTATGATTACACACTTTCCTATTAGTTCCATGATATAAATAACTGCATGCTATCATCACTAGAAAATGTATGCAAATGTCTCTTTTTCAAAGTGATTCCATTCGACAGTGCTGAGCTTTGCAAATTCAGCTCTTTATAAATTATAAATATATTTAAAAAGGCTATTTACATAAAATGGAGGTGTTTTTTATGCTGATGTGAATGACTTAACTTCACTAATAATACTAAGTTCCCTAGTAATACTCATGATTCAGCATTTTATCTGTGCAGTTAGTGCCATGTTAAACTAGATGCAGGTTCTTGGTCTGAAATAGTATGCACAAAAGCAGATGAAGCATATTTATCAATTTACGTTTTTTCACTCATACATATCCAAGTGTATTTTGAATACCATAAGAGCTACACAAAAGTTTGGGGTCTGATAAGAATGTGTAATATTTTTGAAATAAAACTCTAAAACTCTTATGCTCAACCAAGGCTGCATTAATTTGATCAAAAATGTCGTAAAACAGTAATATTGTGAAATATTATTACAAGTTTAAATTACTCTTTTCTATTTCAACATATTTTCTTCAGTGACACACGATCCTTCAGATATCACAATATGCTGATTTGGTGCTCAGGAAACATTTCTTATTATCAAAGCTAAAATTGTGCTGCTTAATGTTTTTGTGGAACTCGTGATACATTTTTACTGTATTTGAAATATAAATCTTCTGTAACATATATTACTCCTTTCCTTACACTTTTGATTAATTGCATGGGTTCTTGCTGCATAGAAGTATCAATTTCTTTAAATAAATAAAAAATATGACCCCAAATTAGGGTTAATCATGCTTTATTTGGCCCGGTAAAATGACAAATGTGGTAAATCACAGAACTGAATATTAATGCCAACCTAAAACTGCAACTGTTTCACAAACCAAGTTAATGCTTATTCATGTTTGTATTCTGGGTGTAGTTTTTTTTTTCCTGCGAAAATGCTTTGATCAGTTTTGACACTGCCATCTTTCCACTACAAGATTCTCAGTGTGAGAGGAGAGAAAACACATGGGAAAAGACGCCTTCTGCTGCCAAGCTAATGTTGAGTAAAGTATCTCATTCATATTTCAAACGTGTGTTGTTAAGCCTTTCTCTTATTGTTTTGTTTTCTAACTGCTGATCTGCCTGTTGCCTTTGGCTGTATTCATTCTCTATGACACAATTTAAAAATATATATATTCTGTGCATCCCAATGGGCTCTCCTAACACTTACTAGCCTTAATAACCTGAACATTTCCGCGACTTCTTTAGTTTCAAGGTATAAAAGGAATAAATCAAAGAATAAACACATTTTCCTGATATGTGAAAATCAATACTTGCACATCTTGAAATATAGAATAAATTAAGCCATTCTGGATACACTCCAGCACTACAACAAAGACTATTCTCAGAGTTGGAGACAGTGCTTACCTGACTCACAGGCAAATGTCTTTGACGTCTCATCGCAGAAAATAATTGCCACTGCGTGTTTCTTGGTCTCTCGTGGCATTCGAGTAACGTTCTTAATGTTGTGGAGCTCAGTAATCTGTGGAAGAAGACGACAAAATTAATTACCAAAATTAACAAACTCAAGAGGAGGGGGAAACAAAGGAAGGAGGATGACATTGAGGTAATGTAGTTACTGTTATCTGAAAATGAAATGATTTGAAATTACTGCAGTGCCTGGCTTTTGGGAGAAATGGAGATGAGAGTTAACGAGAGTTAATGGCAAACACTAAAAAACAGCAGCGCACTGGAAACTATAAATAAATGTTAATATTCATAATATTTTTTGTACGTTCTGGATCAACCAGGGATCCAGAATCCTCCAAGGGGGCCTCAAGGTGACTTAAAATTATTTAAAATAAGACAAAACAATCAAATGAGCCAAAACAACTAAAAATCAAGATTCTTTAAAAAAAATCAGGATTCCCAAATTCTTGAAAAACCTGGATATTTGAGGAATCCTAATTTTAAAAGTGTGATTTCTAAACTTTGAAAACTCATGTAAATTAATAAAATCTCCATGTGTATATTTTTTATGAATATACATTTTAGCTAGTTTTTCTAGCCAAGCTCTAAAATAATTTATCAGGTAGAAAGTAAAAAATATTTTTTAAAATCCTTATCCAATAAATCACACAACAACAACAAACAAGTCATGTGACCTTAGAATATTGTTGTGAATAATAGGGGTTATGAAGTTAAAAAGGTTGAGAACCACTGATCTAGGGGGGGGGGGGGGGGGGG